TATGACAACGTCACGATTTACGGGATTTCGATATTTAACCGTAATTTTTGCCATCGTGACAAAGTGACGATGGACACTTTGTTTTACGTAGGCTAAAGAAGCCGAGCCTTTAGGGGGGAAATCCCATAACCGTGATGAGAATTGAATACCTTTTTCCTTCATTTACGCGATGGTCCCCATTTTAACTGGAAAGCTTCTAAATTCGTTTATAAATCAGGGTTTTTTTATGAAAGAAACTCTGTTAATCACCTAATTTCACCTTCACTTCTCTATGTGTATTTATTTTAGTTATTTATTCTCCTGATGATGAACACTTGGTGAGTTCGAAACGCTACGATTTAGTTTCATTTCTTACTGTGGCATTTTTTTTGTTCATCCTTTTGTACATGTTAATAAGTTTGTGTTTGTGGGCTTCCCTGTTTATACCTAAGGGGATGCACACCTCAATTAAAGCAAGTCCGAAGTCTTAATCCATTCTCATGTCACAATTCATATAGGTGTTTATGTGGTCAACTTCTTGAAAATGAGAATTTAATCATGAAACAGATATATATAGCTGAAGGTATGTGCTTAAATGACAGGATAAAATCTAGATCAGATATGTAAGTTGTGAATGTTTTGCTCAGTTGTATTGAAAAGGATGACTAACTTGCATCACAATCTGCAAATGCATTTTTGTCTGCAGAGCAGTGGTACTCCTGACATAAGGAAATGCATGTTAATACTTTTTGCTTTCTAATAATCGCTGTCATTAAGGATTCTGACAAAGCAAAGTTTATTCGCTGACTGAAACCGCTCATCTTATGGAAGATTCTGGTACAAGAGGGGCTTAGGCCTGTAGAGCTGCCAGTTGCTGCTGCAGAAGTTGAACTTGTTGCCTCTGGGCTTGTTGTGTCGATGGGTGGTAGGGGCTGGGCGGGTAGTAATGGTGAGGAGGCATGTGTGTCATTGTCTGTGAAGGTGGTGGAGTTCGTTCGAGTGAGGTGTGTGCTCAAGGGCAAGCTGATGAGTCTTGATCATAAACGACTTCCAGGCAGCTGGAGTCATGGTCTCACACAGGGATCCTAAAAACGCCATGAAGTGTGCGACCTGTTTGACGTGGGTGGACTGAGGCTGCAAGGTAGATACTAACCTATTGTGGAGGGCCATGGTCTGCTGGCACTGTTGAGACAGCTGTCGGGGAAGCAAAAAATAACATTCAATTATGTTCAACATGACGTAATATATTTCATGCGATGGCCATCGAACTGAAGCATTCTATGTATAGTTTCAAAGTACATTATATAACTATGTGATGTGCATTTTTTTACCTTCTCCAGGAGCTGTTTTGAGCGTTCGTCTGGTGTTGCAGCTAATGATGGAGCCACAGACGTGTCGGCAGGCGGTGTGTCTAATTCCCGGCTCGCCTCGTCGTCGGCCAACACCTGCACATTCGAAATCGAGGACGTTGAAGGTCGTGGTACTTGCTCTTCCCTCCTATATGTCTGATGAAAGATCAAGTGAACAATTAATATATATTTACGTATAATATTAACAAATCAGTGGCAGCAAAACAATGTTTGTTATTCACCAAAATATATTATTTAAGTAATGGACAGGTGGCAAAGACATATATATAGGTTAATAGACAGTATGAACATAAGTCAGTATGACAGAACACCCTGTATTTTACCTTGGACTGACGTCTAGGGACACGCACAATGTGTGGCCGCAGAAACTGAAATGAGTTGTATATCCACCTGTCTCTTTCAGTCAGTTCATCCAGCACAGGCTCCTGACCAGAGCGTGGTGAACTAATTCGTGCAAATCGGGTTCGCATGCCGTCATACCACGTCTTCAACTGGTTAACTGAAGGAAAGTTCAGAATTGCATAATGAGTAAATAATATGGAACCGTAAGAAGACAGTAGTCATAACGAAGCACGACAACTAAACAGTGGAAAATAAAAACACTAAAGTATTCCGCAGAAAGATAATAGAAATAAATCCGATCAGTAACTTTAGGGCAGACTGTCACAAATCAGTGTATGCACTAAAAATAAACACTAACCATGCACACTGAGTTCGGCCGCCTTCTCCTCCAGCAGACGCGCTTTCTTCCCCGTGTTTTTGTAGTCCGTCAACTTCTTATTGTAGAATATTTCATGCTCTTGAAACCATTCGACGGCATCGCGCTCTTGTTCGCCGGTGAGGTTGATTCCACGTGACCTGTTTGACAAAATGAACTGGCTTGGTGCTTCACTTCCCTCCGCCGAACTACCGTAGCCTCCGCCACTCGTTGTTTTTTTAGTCTTCCGCTTGGAGGCTGTAGTGAATCGACGACCAAGTTGTTTAGGGGTGGGGTGGGCGGTTAATGGCCGTCTACAATCTGCATGTTGGCCGCCCGCTGGCCGTTTTCCGGGACGTTTTTGCGGGGGTGGTATGGCCATCTCTTCCTCCTCCCATGTGTTTGTCTTCTCTTCAGCTTTTTCTCTCATCACATCGACCACCTCTTCTTCACG